GACCCATTTCACAAGTATTAAAACCCTTTTCCAACAGTTTGAACCATGGATAATTTTTATTTCCAGAATTGTTGTTTGAACCTTTATTCAACTGAATTCCCTGACTACCTCTTCCTTTGTTATGAGTTGATTTTTTATGTTATTGTGTTGTGACAGGATGATCAATTTTCTTCAACGAGTTACATTTTAGAAAAGTTTCTTGATCTAGAACTTTGTCATATAGTTCTTCAAAAGTGATTGGAGAGTCGCGTGCACAAACCGCAGTGGGAAGGTCTTGTTAATCACCAGTCAAATCGCTCAGACATTAGCGATAATCTTAGCATTAGTGAGAGGGTGTCCTATGATGGTAAGATCATCCACAATAGTTTNCATTAGTGATAATCTTAGCATTAGTGAGAGGTTGTCCTATCATGGTAAGATCTTCCACAATAGTTTTCAAGGATCGCATATGTTCACCAACAGTTTGTCCCTCATTGGTTGTTCTCATCAAGGTCCCAAGCAAGCCCAACATGTTAGTTTGTGACTTACTGGCAATGGTAGTGTTGTTTGTAAATTAGAATTGAGTGATTTATTTAACACAAAATGATCTTATCAAACCTACCAAAGTATAGAATGGAAAGTAAAAAGAAAGTTTGATGGAATAATGCCGAGGAATAAAATGCAAAGGATCGAGGCAAGAGTTTAACTCTTCGTCCTTAAGTCGAATCTGCCTTGCACACGTGCCTACGGATTATGGCAATTAAATCTCAAGATACAATGATTGATTTCTTGTGTTTACAAAAAATTCAAAACACAAGAACAACGAACCAACATATTGCTTTGTACTCATCTTCTTGAATGAAAATAAAACAAGGTGTTAATGAAGAATTTCGGTAAGGAAATGATGTTAATATGTTATGCTATGATTACATAAGATAGAAGTGAATGAAAAACAACACCAAGGGGTCTTATTTATAGATGTAGAAGGGTTGCAAACCTGAGAGACACAACCCAATTCAACTTGGTTCACAAAAAGTAGCCCAAGTTAACGAGTTAACCATCGCTAGCCTGTCTCTCGCCTACCACTCAAGCAACAATTTTAGAGACTTTGTCGCTTGCTGGGCGCTAGACTTTCGCTCGACCGACGGTCTCATATGGAAATTTGATTTTTTTTCTAAGTTAAAATCGTGTTTTCCAATCCTACTTCATTCACTAATTTCTCATTCATCTAGAAAAATTGTTTTCTACGTCCAAATATACCGAATCACCTACTCAAGGAGTAGAACATGATTGACCCATTTCTCACCATATTCGAGATGCGGGACCCATCCAAATATTTGGTTAAATTTTGACAAAAATCTACTTTTTAAATATTTTCCAACAGGTAGTTTCCAATTTTTGCCAGGCTTCGGCAGCAGTCTTGAAGCCAATAATGATTTGAGTAGATGTGGTGTTATTAATTGATGCTTGAATGTCCAACAATACAAGTTGGTCTTGCCTCAACCAAAGCTGCATTGTTTCTTTCTGTTGTTGGAATAGTTTCAGCAAGACAAGTAATCAAACGACGTATATCAGTAAACCATGGACAGAGAGCAGGTTTATGAACTGAGATTTCAAGGAAGCATAATTCCCGTTTTTGGACAGCTTGAACCGGATCTGCTAAGCAGAATTAAGAGAGCCATAAGAGGACTTGAATATGTGGTATTCCCAACATTGACAACAACTGGTGTTCCAGTTGAGAAGTTTGAGTATTCTGAATACACGGTACGGTTGAAGAAGAAAAAAGATGGAGAATAGGATGCAGGATGAGATTTTGAAATAAGCAATCTTGACAGAGGATTATGCAGAGGATCGATTTTTTACTAGGCGCAAAAAGCCTTTGATACCATGACAAAATGAAAAATATGAAAATGATTGTTCTATTTAAATCTCTGTTATTACAAGAGTTTAAATTTACAAGGGTGCAGCTAATCAAGCCTACGACAATGGTCTAATTACAAGTAGATATGGAAAATAGAGTAAATACATTTTACCGAATAAATTGAGGCGATTATTTCCTTGCAATTAGAACTCAACCCAACAGCCTTCAGTTCCTTCGTTGAGATGACATTCGCTTTAGTTCATGTTTGGCAAAGCTTAAATATTTAAAAAAAAAAAAAGAAAAACTGATCAAATATACATTTCGTAGGATAACACAACTTACCACTCATCTACTATCATATATCTACACATTCTATAGGACCTACAATATATAAGCCTTTACAAGCACTACCAAGCAAGCACTTAATAACAAAACGTCAACTTGCACTCTTACTATTGAATTTGACTTCCTTTCTTCTGACTTATATACCACTCATATTTTTATTCTCGGATTTTGTATTATTAAGGGCAAATTCCAAAACTTTCTACCTCGCTGCTGTCCTCCCTTCATCTTGCCAACGACACCAGCACCTCCCCCACCATCTCTGACCCACCGTCTCCTATAGATTCATGGAAATGGATAGACCGAAATCTTGCAGTATGAAGGTTTCGAGAAATGGTAAGCGTAATTACAAGATGGAAATTTACTACGGGCTACTTTTTACACAAAAATTCGAACATACATTTAGTATGGAACAAATTTTGTCCTACTATAAATAAGCTATTATACAACTTTTCCTTTATACTAGTCTACAAGGTCCAATCGACCATATCAAACACATTGTTGTATCCCAACAATATCTTGAATTAAATTTGATACTATAAAATTAGGCAAATAAAACAAGTTCATACTGGAAGCAAGAAAATGCCTGTAACTTCAAGAGGGTACCTTGTCACAAAGGAAGTAACAGCGACAATGCCCAGACGACTATTTGCTACTATGAAAAAAAACACACCTTTAACTCTAATCACTCAAGAATTCTTCAACCAGATAATTAATGGCTTCCTCTAATTTTGCCTTCCTGTTTTCCTCGTAATTCCACATCTCAACTACTGGGTACCGGCCACTTGGGTTGTATTCATTTAGTTCCTTCAGTGCCGTTGTAACAGCAAGGTAAACTTCATCACCCCATTCTTCCTTAAGCTTGAGTAGTACTTCATCATCCTCATTCATAATTTCCTACAACATTCACTAAAACTCTTATTTATATAATTTTGAAATGTTCCTTTGTCGACCAAATATTCAGTAAAACGAAGACAATAGATCAACTATAAAGACTCAAATGATAAAACTTGACGGATTGAATAAACTGACTTTATTAATTGGGATTGCCACTACTAATTCACAGTACTAAAATGAAACATAAACAATGGCCATTTTTTTAGAATTAACCTATTTGCACAATCCTTGTTGACAACGTTTTGTCAAAATCAGGACCATTGATTTTTAAAAAAGTTTTTGAAACGGATGACTGTAATGTTGCCAGTGTGAGTTGTCAACTAAGATTGTCAAATAAAATTGTATAACGAGCATGATTGCATTTTTTAAGGCTCACCTGGTGCTTCCCATCAATTTGAATGACTTTAAATGGGTGCCATTCTGGATTTTCCAGTTTTTCCTGCCATTGGAAACAGAGCTCCATAGCCTTAATCTCAGCAACTGTATGTGGGAATCTCTGCATGCAAGTATTCTCAAAGGCTTCCTCATCAATTTTTCCCATACACTTTATATTAATGTTTGTAATGCCCCTACCAAACATGTTGCTGTAGCCCTAATATGATGAGATAAATTAGTCTCTACAAGACGAGAAATAAAACATATGCGTCACAAAGTTTTCTGCATAAGTCGTCTTTTAAGCTATTTAAACATTTCTATGACACTCATACCCCTTTAAATAGTTTATAGTTCATTCCATAGTTTATATATCAGCACATTCAAAGATATCTATTGAGAAATTAAAATTTTCCTTTTAAAGTTGTTGCAGATTATCATTACTCAAATGCTTTTAGGCAAGAAGAGTTCTGTTTTGTTCCAGTGCATTCCAGACAATACTTCTCTTCAATTCTCTGTTCGAATGCTTCTATTTCTTTAATTTTGTTCTATTTCTTGTATTTGGTACTTACACTGATTTTTTTATATGGAACATTCCCCTGTTGAGCAGTTATAATTTCATTAACTTCCAATAGCAAGAAAATAATGCCATAAACTAAGAGGTTAGATGGCATGTATAATACCTCTATTAATGCTGCACGGGTATTCTGCAGCTCGTCGTTACTCAAGAGCTCTTTGGTAAGGAGTTGTTTATTCAAATCCTCAAGACCCTCGATTTCCTCGACCTTCTCCTCCAGTTTAGCCTTCAGCAGCTCAATTTCCGCGTCCCGAGATGAAAACTCAAGCTGGAATCGTGAAATCTGGTAGCCCAAGTCATCAACCTTATCCCCTAGTAGCTTGACATAAACATTGGCCTTGGCAAGTTCAGCTTGGGTAACCTTGTGCTCAGCATCTCTCTTATCTTGCTCGACAAGCAGGTCATTAACCTTATCCTCTAGCCGCTTGATCAACTCATTCGCCTTGGCAAGTTCAACTTGAAGCAACTTATGCTTAAAATGTTTCTTGGCATGCTTGACGGTCAGGTTTTTGATTTTTGGTTTGTACAAGGAGTCATTCTGGACCTGGAGGTCAGTGGAATCCATGTTTTGCAAATGTCCATCGAGCTTGGGGGCAACATGCGCTTTTTCTGCACAGTCTGGCTTCTTTACCGCCTCGTCGATTTTCAGCTTTTTGGTTGTGGGAGGTGGAGGAGTTGAAGCAAAAGCCTCTTGGAACCTCTTTGGTGAAATGGATGGAGAAAGAATTATCGGAACGGAGACTGTTCCTATGGAAGTAGGGCTCTTGGAAGGAGCTCGATCAAGAGGTTTGTTAGCTAATCTTCTGTAACCTGCGAAGCAAAAGTATGTTAGCTCGCAATACAACAAAAAGAGCTATTACCAAAAATTTCTGAGGGTTACTTCCTTACCTTGGTCAACCATGTTAATGCAACGTTGTGCAAAATGATAATCAGTTATGACGAAGTTGTAGGCTCTGACCAAATACCCTTCACACTTTCTTTGTGCTTAGAAATGAGCTTGAGGCGACAATTTCCTACAAGGCAACAACAAAACCAGGTCTAATGCTGATGAAGACAAAACAATAACTCGATTTAATTTCGGGTTTGTGCATTTTTGACAAATTGCTAGTCTAATTTGAGTGGAAACGGGCCAATGATCACAACTCAGGGCCTTTGGCC